GAGAGAGAGAGAGAGAATGAGAGAAAGAGAGCAAGAGAGTAGAAAAGAAATAGAAGGGAAAAGAGAGAAAGAAAGAGCGAGAGAAAGATTACGGTATTTCGAACGAATCTACGCCGATTGCGCGTCGTACATGCATATATAATACACGCGCATATCTGTGTAGTACACGTTGCGAGTCGAGTAGCGTCGAAACGAGCGATTTGTCGCGACGAAGTAGCGGGAACGTGCATATAGCATCCACGCGATGCGTCACAAGTGATGACGGAGAAAGAGAAAGACGGAGAGAAATCTGTTTTCCGCTTGAAACGATCACTTCAAAGCAAACGAGACGGGAAACATTTGCCAAATAATAAGATAGATGAATAGATAAATAGATAGATAAACATAGATAGATAAATTAGATAACTTAGTGAAATTAGATAGATGGATAAAGAAGAGGAGAAAGCGAGAGAGAGAGAGAGAGAGAGAGAAGAAGAGAGAATTGTGCGTGAAAGGAGAGAGAGAAGAGAGAAGGCGAAAGCGGAAGAGAGAGCGAGAAGCAATTATTACTGTGGGGGTGTTACGGACGAGCTAAAGGGGAAGACAAGAAGTTGATGTTCTTGTTTGTTTGGTTGCAGGAGTTGATGGGTGTGGATGAGCGGATGTTTGCGTGCATGTACTGCGGTGCCTCGTTCCTCCACCAGAGCAAGCTGGCGCGGCACATCCTCTCGCACAGCCTCGAGTCGCTCAAGTACCGTGAGCAGGCGGCCACCTGCAGCTGCAGGCTCAGCTGGGCCTCGAACCCGGTATGCACCTGCCGCCGGAGGCCCACTACCCCACCGCAGGTACGATCGAGCCGATGGATCTCGAGCTCGCGGCCCACTCGGACCCGACCTCCGGCGTCGTCCTCTGCAAGTTCTGCGGCAAGTCGTTCCCGGACGTTGGCTCCCTGATAGCCCACCTACCGGCGCATACAGGTGACAGGCCCTTCAAGTGCGAGTTCTGTGGCAAAGCCTTCAAGTTGCGCCACCACATGAAGGACCATTGCCGGGTGCACACCGGGGAACGGCCGTTCCGGTGTACCCTGTGCGGCAAGACCTTCTCGAGGTCGACCATACTCAAGGCCCACGAAAAGACACATTATCCGAAGTATGTGCGCAAGTTCCTGTCCCCGAGCCCCGTGGATCCTTCCGAGGAAGAGGCCCCGCCGCCGCCACCGCCGCATCATTGAGTTCGCCTTAGACCGTGCAACAACCGCCACGTTCACCACCGCCGGAGGAACAATCGCCGATCGATACACCTTCCTCAACCTACCCTCGTTCCTTCCCGTCGTTCTCCTACGTCCCGAGGTTTCGAGCACGCGATCATCAACGCCGTTCGCTACGCATCGATCGCCGCCACCATCACTACCACCACCACCACCACCGCCACCGCCACCACCACCGTACCCGCGATCCAGGAGAAGGATTCTCCGGAACAACGGATCACGATCGCTTGTCCAAAGATCCGTCGGTTAATAGACGCGATTGTCCCAGTGACACGGGGGATGATGCGGTCGGGCGTGGGAAACACGGACACGAGCAGTTCTACTACTAGTGGTGCCTCATTCTCATTCGCTCGTTGTTTCGTTTCGCATTTCTTTCCTTATTTATCCCCGCTATTACTACTGCTATTACTATTACTGTTACTACTATCACTACTACTATCGTTTCTTCTCCTGGTTATCGTGTGTCATCGTGTCCTTCTCTCGACACACCAGGTTCCGTCGTTCGACCTCCTCCCACCACTGCTCGTCTCGTTAAACGGCCGAGAAACGTTCGCGCGCCTCCTCCGTTGCCCACGCGTGGTCCCCGTGCCCGTTATCTCTCCCTGCTATCGTTCCTGCTCTCTCCTGTCTTTTCGTTCGTCTCCACGGAGGGTGTACACCTCCCGTTCATCGATCCCCACTGAGCGACGAGGCAAAAAGCCGGCGGTGTTTCTAGTTAGTCCTGTGATTTTGGTTAGGATGGTTGGTAAACGCGTGTTCAGAGGGAGGGACACGTTAAAACGAGCTCCCTCGTTTAATCAGTGCTTTAAGACGAAACGTTTAGCTTATATATATACATATATATATATTATATATATATCGATAAATTATTGAAGGTATATATATATATATGTGAGTGAGAGGAAGAGCGAGAGAAAGAAGTGAGAGAGAGAGAGAGAGAGAGAGAGAGAGAGAGAAGAATAGAGAGAAGAGTGAGAGGAGTGGAGAGGAAGGAGAAAGAAGAGAAGAAGAATAAGAAGAAGAAGAG